TTATTTTGATATATCACAGTGAAAGATTTATCGTCCTCTTTTTTTTTTTTTTTTTTTTTTTTTTTTTAAAAAAAAAAAAAAAAAAAAAAAAAAAGAAGGAAAATAGCTGCATTCTACATCTGCTTTGCACTCAAACTTTTGTAGTTTGTGCTTTAGTTAGGGTACATGGAGAAAATGTGACCTCACTTCCTCTTCTCTTTCCTTTTCTCTCTTCTTCCCTCCTTTCACCTTTCTCCCTCCCTCCTCCCATTCCTTTTGTTCTTTTTTGAGAAGGGACCTTGCTATATAGCCCTGCTGGCCTAGAACTTGTTCTTTAGACAAGGTAAGCCTCAAACTTTCTGCAATGCCTCTTTCTCTGCCTCCCAAGTACTGGGAGCATGCACCATCACACAGGCTGAGAGCTAGCAGTTTCTTAAGTTGCAAGGTGGAATCTGAAAATACATCAATGAATTTATAATGCTATGCTAAAAATCCATCTGTTTACTTTTTCTTTGAGACAGGATCTCCCTGTATCCCCAGCTGGTTTGGAATTTGCTATGTAGACCAGCTGGCCTCAAATTCATAGACCCACCTGCCTTTCAAGTGCTGGGATTAAAGGCATGTGCCACCAGGTCCTGCTGCCTATTTACACTTGGAATGGAACCTTTATCCATATTTGATTTTTTGTTTTTGTTTTGTTTTCTGTTTTTCTGAGACAGGGTCTTCCTGTAGCCCCAGCTGGCCTAGAACTCGGTCTAGAGACCAGGCTGGCCTCCATCTCATAGAGATCCTTCCTCTGCCTCTCGAGCACTGGGATTAAAGTTGTGCACCACCACGCCTGGCTCCATATTTGAATTTCTAACATCATACATTTTATCTGGAAAAATACTTCCAAACATTAATATTTCATTTTACCATATTAAAAATCACATTAGTTAACATAATAATCTCATTAAAATATCTTAAAATATTGGAAGTCTACAAGCTAAAAAGATTCCAAAATCCTCATTTTTCACTTAAAAGCTTGAATTTTATCATTGGCACAAATACTGTCAATTATTCACCTTAAGACAACTGGTTCACTCTATTGCTTTTAGAGAAAATGTCTGCCAAACACTCATCTCTGAATAGCTGTATTTCTTGATCATTCTTTACTTAAAAACAATGCTCTAAGAGCTGGGTGTGGTGGTGCATGCCTGTAGTCCCAGCACTTGGGAGGCAGAGGCAGGCGGATCTCTGTGAGTTCAAGGCCAGCCTGGTCTACATAGTGAGTTCCAGGCTACAGGGAGACCGTGCTTCAAAAAGACAAAAACAAAACAAAACAAAAGAAAAAACCCAAAAACAACAACAACAAAAAAACAATGCTCTAAGAACAAAGCTAATATTTCAATACTCCAATAACAAAGCTAATAAATATTACTTTTTCTCTGAACAACCAGTATACTGGATTTGCAGGAGAAATGCTCTCTCTCTCTCTCTCTCTCTCTCTCTCTCTCTCTCATATATATGTCCCATTTTGTTACAGAGAATATTAAAATAACATATAAACAATTATTAAAGTGTATTTTAATAAGGGGACAGGTATGGTGGCATACACCTTTAATCTCAGCACTTGGGAGGCAGTAGCAGCAGATCTCTGTGGGTTTGAAATCAATCAGCCTGGTCTTCATAGTGAGTTTTAAGCCAGCCAGGGCAGCTTAATGAGATCCTGTCTCAAAATTTTTTATTTTAATAAAATTAATAATTTTCACTGTTTCATCAAAAACATTCTCAAGTGAAATTGGCTTCAAATTTTTTTTAGATATTTCAATATAGCCAATTATAATCCTTCTGCCTTAGCCCCCAAGATGTTAGGAGTGCAGGTGTGCATCACCACATTCAGCCTGGAACTTAAAAAATGACTATA